TCTATAAATATTCTCATGGTAATTGTTCTGATGAACTTTCCTCTATGATACCTAGACTTTATGAATTTAAGCACAATACTAGGTTGGTGGCAAAGTCTCATCATCTTACTATTGAAATGGACTTGATGTAACCGTAAATTCTATACTAGCAGTTTCTTTACTCTCACACTTCTCACTTATGAAACTCACTTCAGGCTTCTTACTTTCCAGTCAACTTTGATCTTTAAAAATTTAAATGCAATGTCAATTGTTATTTTCTGTCTTCTTAATTCCTGTTGTTTTATTGTGCTCGCTCCTTCATAATGTTTTTCTTTATATTCTTTCATACTCAGTAACTCCTGCGTGTTAGGCGTTCTGTTGCTTTGCTTGGGGTGAAATTTTTAAAAATGGCTTTTTTTTAATTATCCGTGAATGGCTATGAATTCTTGGGAAATATCGTGGAGTGATTTCCCGCTGCCTTCTCCACATTTTGGAATTTAGCGTGTTTCTTCTGGTTACTATTTAACCCATAGCTGCGGGAGAATAGATGGATTCATGCATTTTCCAAGAGCATTACTGGAAAAGTGAATGCAACAGACTATGTCAGAATTTGAAGTTAATCACGCTGATCTCATTTCCCACGCTGATATCCTTTATACTACCTTCACCTCCCAAACTAAGTATAGCGATACATATTTGGATGTGCATTGTCCTCTGTAAAGAAACTATTTACTAAGCGTGGCTTAGATGTGACACAAGGACGAAAGTATGGTGTACCCTGTGAGAATCGAACTCGCTACACAGTTGTAATTGATCTAGCGAATCAAGTTTGTTAACCATTACACCATGTAGAAGTGCCCTTGTCCTCTGTAAATAGCCAGACATAAGCAAAATTTTTTGAACATTGGGTCGCATGAGGTACAGTTCATCATAAAACGGGCGGCACTTCTAAAAAAAGTTTTTTTTTATTAAAGATGCCGTAGGCATTTTCCAACCGGTTGATAAACCGTAAAAAAAAACGAATCAATCAATCAATCTAAAACTTCGTCATTGATCACATGTCTGATCCATGCTATTCTCAGCACACTGCTGTAGAACCACATTTCTGCTAATTCAAGTCTCTTCTTCACCTGTGAGTCGATTGTCCAGCACCCACTGCCTTTAATTCCATAATATAATATCTATAATATCAATAATATAATTGTTGTGGAGTGATTTCGCAGTGGAGGCTTGTATTTGTACTAAGTCGGTCCTAAAATAGGTTCGACGTACAAAACGTTAGGAAAGGTAATGACGCAGAGAAATCTAGTTGCGGTCGCTGATACTTTAGTATCCGACTAACAATCGACCGGCATCGACTCACTGACCGACCCACTGAGCGACTCCTCGTTACTCTTACTACTCCTACTTATTATAGGTGAGAGAGTCTATTAACTATAGAATAGGTGTGTTCCACTATAACAATAATATAATACAGTGACCTTAAATAACTTTGAATAAATTTCTTGCATATTCATGACCTCCTGGTTACCACGCTTACAACTTTCAGGCAAATATTTCGAACATCTACGATGATTGTTCAGTTTGTGCATGAATCATGATAGCTAAATAAATTTCTTTCTGAATTTGCCGCTTTTTTACTGGGCAGCCGGTATAATATAATATAATTTCATATTTAATATCATACTTATTATAAAACCCAGTGTGTGTGTGTGTGTGTGTGTGTGTGTGTGTCTGTACGTTCATATATTGGATCGGATTTCCTACATTTTTCAACCGATTTCAACAAAACTTCACAGGACTACGTAAAATTACCTTGCGGTGGTTCTGACAGTGCCAAAAATTGGAAAAACACAATTGTTTTTGCACAAAATCAATTTGTAAACACGATTAAGAGGCATCGCAAGAATGAAAGGGGGACAACTCATATCGAGTTATACTTATTATAAAACCCAGGTTGTGTGTGTGTGTGTGTGTGTGTGTGTTCCTTTATATATGGGATCGGATTTCCTACATTTTTCAACCGATTTCATCAAAACTTCACTTTTTTTTGACAGATAGTGTTTCTTATTGTCTTGCACACTTTTTTCTTTATTTTTACATTCAGAATGCTTTAAAAATTCCATTTACAAGACAATTGTTTATAATAAAATTCTATTCAATCGGTAGACTCATAACGATTGAAAACAATGTTTTTGTTTGAGTTTAGGTTTGACCAATTCGTAAAAAAAAAAAACTAATTAAGACATGCGTGTCCGTCAACCTTAAACAATAATCTTTGTCAATTTTATTTTTCAGTCTTTATGATGATTGATACTTGATCTATCTCTTACTGTTACATCCCCGGGCAACGCCGGGCTCTACTGCTAGTCAAATATAAATGGTGTATATTATATTCTATATGCCATGAATACGACATTTCTTTCTCAATGTGAATTATTTCAAGATGGATACAAGTATCATTTTATTTCCAGTCTTAGAATTATGGAATGACTAAGATCTAACCTTGGTCATACTAAAC